TCGAGTGATGTCGGTTTAAGTCATGAGCTCACAGAATTCCGTCCTCAGCCTGCAGGACCGTGCGCTGTGGAGGCTGAGTAGTTTGAGCCGCTGGCGGTTGCTCTGTTCCGTTTTGCTGGGTAGCATTTTCATATGGAGGTGGAGGATCAGTAGCATTTGTCTGATTACTTGCGGGTGCGCCATTGGAAATGTTACTATCTCCAGCGCCAAACACGATACGAATACCTGGATGCTGGAGCTTCTGCAAAAATAAAAAAATGTTAAAACAAAGTAAGACTGGTTGCTATAAAGAAAAAGCCTAGGAGAGCTTACACTCTTCTCAGCGACCCGCATTTCGAGTTCATGAATCTGTCGCTTCTCAAGGTAATTTCGGCATCTGAACGAGTCGCAGAAATTAAATATGGCTAACAATGCTATCAATACTACCTGTTCACTGATGTTAGCATTATGGATTGTATACCCATAGCGAACATGAACATAATAGTGACGAGTATGTAGCCCTGGATTAGAAAATCTTGACCAATATAAGCAAAGTTAGTACCAAAAACTCACCGAAGAACTTTGAGGTGGAATTGATTTCAGAGAGCTTAGTATGACTATGTGATTTCTGCAAAAAAAAAATCGATAAAAATGCACAAGCCAATATGATTATAAAAGAACTCACACTACAAAAATGAAGAAGATCGTCTCAAATACAAGTACCATAGTGTAGATCAAGATGAATGGCACCAAATACCGTGGTTGCATAAGTTTTATCCCGCGTACGACCATCCAATGGATAGACATACCAATAAACAAGAACAGCAAGAGACCAACTAAATCGGCAATATTGCGAAAAATAAAAATAGTAAAAAGGCTAACTCACATAAAAATCCGATATCCACGCCTTTTTCGTGATGATACCAATCGAACTCGAAGAATACTGACAGAAATATGAAAATGACCAAAGAAAGTCCAACTCCAGCGGAAATCTGAAACGCTATTTCATAAAAATAATTTTACAGTCGAATTCAATAAAAACTAACAATAGCGGCTCGTTGCGCATGTGTGCCAAAGGCCATGAATTCAGGGCTATCCTCGCGGAACGGAGCAACATGGATAACTGTGGGTGGAGGACGATCATCAGTTTCTTCTCCTAGACAAGTAATATTTTGATGTTATACAGAAAAAAACAAAAAATTAGCCTCTAGTCTTGTCTTGCTTATTTTTGGTAAAGAAAAAGTTGTACCAGAAAAGTCTCGAAAAAATTTAGTCACAGCAAGTGGAACAAGGGAGAGCGTAAGATAAAAAACCAGAACAATGCAATGTAGCTATTTCTGCAAAGCAGCGAAACTGCACCCTGCAAATTTATGTCACAAAGGTTCTTCAAAAGTAGTAATCAAAGGTTCAAAACTAGTTCCGAAGAAAATTATTCGAATATGACTTGCATGAAACCGGGTAACTCCTATGTACCCTAAAATCTTACAGATAAGTCCGCTTTTTTGTCA